AAATAGCAATTCTTTCTCTTTCAAAGAACTCATCCGTGACTTCCCATGGACCAAGACAACTTTAGACCAATTCCCTTTTCTTTTCCCCAAAACAAGGAAGAGACATAATTATTTTGTCTTTTTTTTTCTTTTTGATTTGTTTAATTAAAAGGTGGCCACTTGGCCACATACTCCAACAGTTATATCCTATTTTCTTGTAGTGTCATGACTAATCATTCTTTTATCTTTAGCTTAGACAAGTTAATGCTAACTTCACTACGACACAATATGTAATTAATAGCATTGCACGATAGCATTTCTCCACAATTGTTATTGATCAATGGCTTAAAAAATTCCAGCTCTTTTTAAAACGCTATTGTAGGCTTTAAAATTTTAATATTTTGAAGTTGGTACTAACTTTTTCCTTCCAACATAAATTGAATCAGTTGAGCTGTCCAATCCAATTATGTACACCAAACGAGGCCTAAAGATTTACAGGACTTACTACTTACAAAGATAAACTGATAAACAAATTAAATGAATTTGGTTTAATTTACTACAAATTATCATTTGTCGGTCCTGTGTCTATTTATTTTGTGGTAATTGCAAATAATCAAATTAGTTGCTTGGTACATGTTATTGGTTGTTGCCTGGGAATTATTCCAATGTGTTACTTCTTTATGTGCTATCATTTCAGATGAATAATGTAATTCCATTTCCTTTTCTTGGAACTTAAATTCTTTAATTTAACTATCTGATGTATATCACAGGTCGCTTTGGGTAAGAAAAAACCGTTGAATTTTTTTGGATCAACGGGTCCGGGGGCCCTACTCTAACGACACCGATACTGTTCTCAATTTTACCATCTGCCCAATCCGTCAAGTGTGGGGTTTTACCACAAAATGTCTTGGTATTAGTTAGAGTAGGGTAATCCTAATTAAAGTCATTGCTTTTCTTTACTTCCACCGATGTGGGACTGCTAACACGCCCCCTCACGTGTAACTTCATTTAGTGGTTCACACATGGAGATCCACACATCAGCAATTGAAACTCAGAGGTTGGCTCCAATGAAGTCTAGACTTGTTTTCAATCTTTTCAGGAAATGGCTCTTAAGAACTCAGATGTTAGCTCTATGTTAAGAGTCCAAGCTTGTTTCTGAACCCACACTTCCTGGTGACAAGCCCTTAGCTTGTACGGCCTGTAACTGTGGGCTCTGATACCATGTTGAAATTTTTTAGATCGACGGACCCGGGGGGCCCACTCTAATGATACCGATATTGTCCCCAAATTTACCACATGCCCAATCCATCAGGTGTGGGGTTTTACCATAAAAAATCTCGATATTAGTTAGAGTGGGGTAATCCTACTTAAAGTCATTGCTTTCTTTATCCCCACCGATATGGGACTGCTAACATAAACACCCAAATGGTTGTAACATAACCAAACAGAAAATTACATAGCTAGGGATAGGCCCTAACTCTAGCAGTGCCAAGCTTATCAGCAACCATTAAACGAATGCATAGCAGTCCTTTGAAACATGATGAAAATGTATATAAACAGCTAGCTCGATCGTTGAATCTAAAATTCGAACCCTAGAATTTCTTCTTCAGTCCTAATGCCTAGCCTACACTACTACAAAGGCAGGGTACAGACTTAAAGCACAAAGTGATGAAGAGAATAAGAACTTCATGCTTGTATTGCCTCCAAGGCCGCTGCACACGGCTGCTTTGCCTCAGCTTCTGGACCTGCAGCTCCCCTGAACAGCAAAACTGCAAGGCTGCCCACGCAAAAATAGATGAAACAGCCGTGGCAACGTGTAACAAATGAACCAAAATCTGTTCCTACAATGCACTCCATCCAGGTCCATATGGGTGCGTTTGGTACGTGGGACGGGACGGGACGGAACGGGACGAGGCGTTCCGTCCCGCGTTTGGTACGCCAAAAATGGGTGGAACGGGCTGTTCCACGGGACAGATTTTGGGTGTTTTTGCGTCCCACCTCCCCCCCTGGAACGGGTTTGTTCCACGTCTGTGGAACACACTGTTTTACCATTTTAAGACAAATATACCCTATGTATTTTTCAAAAATTACACCTTCGTTCCGTCCCGTTCCGTTCCGTCCCGTCTGCGTACCAAACGCACCCTATGTCCTGTCAAACTCCTGCAGAAACAAAAAAAAATTTAAGTTTATAAAAATTGTCAATATAATTCATGTCGTATTGTTGATAATTAAGCAAGCCAGCACTCGTCAAATAAATTTTGAAGTGAACAAATGTAATATGAGCATCTAATAAGTGGCCATTTGATAATCATTTCGTTTTTAGTTTTCACCTTTGATAATCATGTAATATGAAGACCTCACCCTTATTTTGAAAACCACTGAAAGCTACTTTTCTAAGTTTTAAAACATTGTCTTGATTTTTGTTTTAAAATTTCAATTTTTTTGAAAACTAAAAACTAAAAGCTAAAATCTAAAATCTAAAAACTGAAATAAATGTTGTATCAAGTGGTCCTAACTCCTAAGTGATTACCTTTTTAATGAAGCGGCCTATCTCAGTCGCTTCAGTGATATCATCAAATAAATCAAGGGCTTTGGAAGTTAAGTCAAGTGCCTTCTGCTGCATGGTTTGAAGCATGTCAGTCTCAACGATGACTGCTTTACCCTCCAGCATGGTTATTAACAAGATGGAGATCGGAAATTTACAAGCAAAATCTTTGTTGGAAAAGAGGTGTGATGCAAATTTGTTAGACTAAGTAGTTGTGGATAGAAAAGGTGGTAGTGGTGCAGCTTATATTGAGCTCGGAACCAAGGGGATATATAGCTGGTGCTACTCACTCATCAGCCACATAATATGTGGATATTTTTCCTTTGTGGCCAGCACACCAGCATGTGCTGTGCAATGTGCCAAATTAGTAACTACAATTCTTTTTTGACGTGGATGAGCCTATTGGCGAGAAAAATCTTAAATGTAACTGAGGTATATACATTTTTTTTTGTCTCTTATCACATGACTAGGTCATGTGATATGAGAAATATGTAGAGAGAACAGCCGGTTACATAGAAAAATATCTTGTGAAGTGTTTGGAAGGTTGAAAAAATTTCAATCAGTTGTTGGTCACGATCAAATTTGGGACAGGTGGCTTGATAATTGGGTTTTGGACATGTGGTCCACCGGCTATATATGATTGCATGGTTATGTTTGTCCAGTTACGGCCATGGTTTGGAACAATATGAAATGCATTGAGGGGCCAATATTCAAGCATTCCAGAGATTTGAAGAAACTGGAAAGATCAAGTGGTTGCAGTTGGATGGTGCATTTCTTTGTGCAAGCTAATTTCTAAACTGTTTATTTTTCTTTTTCTGGTCAGTATAAAAAGATGAAAAATGGTTTGAAATCCAAATCTTTTTGTGATTTTTTTTTCCAACGTCATATAAATCATACCACACGATGATCTACGAATTTAGGTTAGTTTGTTCTTAAAGAATTATCTACTACATTTATCTTGTCACCAATCATCATATATAGTGAACCACTATGCACGCAAAAGAATGGAACAGTTTTACAGATTTCTAAAATTCATGGAGAGATTATTTGTGTTTTGATATAGAATAAAATATAAGTAATGAAACCTAAATTATTGAACATCCCACTCATTTGATTCTCTCCTTTTGGCTGGGGAAAACCCACTTGTCTAAACCAATTGGTAGAGCTACAACATCAACATGGCAGTTGAAAGAGTTTTTTCACAAGAAATCTCGATGTGACCAGAAGTGAAACCACATAATATCAGTCATATGAAACTTTTCTTGTATTTTTGAATCGTAATAAATACAAGTTTCCTTTATATATGTTAATGTTAACCTAACTAGGGCTAGAAAATGAGAACTAGCTCGGCCTTTCTTCTTCAGAATCAAGGCCCTGCCTTGGGTGATGAACCATTTTGGATCACGGAAGCTGTTGGATTAGGCCCTTGCTCAATTTTGTTTGGTTCGCCTATATCCATGGGCCAATTTATTATGTTTTTTTTTTTGTCAAAAAATTATTATGTATTTATTTAAGGTCTAATCCCTTTGAAGTTGGCTCTGATTTGGAAGTTTTAAAATAATAGTTTTGAATGCCCAATGTGGGGTGTAGCTCAAATGATAGAGCGCTCGCTTTGCATGCGAGAGGTACAGGGTTTGATCTCCTGCATCTCCATCATATTTTTATATTTCTTTAACCACATGTCCACTACTTGCAAAATTCCTGGCTACAAATTATAGTTCAAGCCTGTTCTAAAAGATCTCAAACAAATCTAAATCTGTTATATTTTCAACTATTTTTGCTCACTGAGTGTTATTTTTTCTTTTTGTTGCAACCTAAACCGATTTCTAGGTTTTAACCTGCAAACTTTCATGAAGCTTCGTAGTACATAATATTTTAGATTTTTTAACCGTTAGGTTAGATTTTAGTTTTGTGTTTTGACCAAAAAATTTATGGTTAAAAAATATAGGGTATCCACTAAAACGACTTGATGACCAATCATTACATTATATGGGGGTCGACATGGTCTCAAAACACCAGCTGGATTAGATCATGGATTCTATTAATTAAACCCAATTAAAAAGGTAACAAAAAAAAAAAAAAACGTAGCCAGAAGGTTGTGCAACTTCCATCTAAACCTCACGCTAAAACGACAGCTTTCCTAATTTGTTTATTGTCTAGATTTCCACCCCACAAGCTCAAATCTCTTCCTCCTCCCACCTCATATGTCGCTGGTGGAACTGTTTGTTTTCTTGACATTCAACCCAACCTGACAAACAACGCGTCAACCACATACCCTGTATCCCAAACGAATTTTTTTTTCAGTGTGTACGAAATACCGTCTCGTTATTGTAATCTCACGTCAAATAACAAGTAAACAGATATACAACCTGACAAGTATTTTAAATTACATAAAAATTTCTCGACGTAACGTTTCATTCAACACCCCCCAACCATATCACACAACACCACCTGTCCCATTGCTCATCCCCCAACATGTCTGTTCTTCAAATAACAAATTAAATAGAATATCTTCGCTACCTTTCCCTCCCAACCATCCACCCAACTCCTCTCCCTTCTCATCCCCATAATATTACACATCTCTCCCTCTCATTTCATCCCCCATTACCAAAAAAAATTCTTCCATTCTCTCTCTACGTTAATCCCACACCAAACATCTACATTTACTAGTTTCTTTTATTCTCTCTCCCTTTTTCTTGAGCTGAATTATCGACCAGCGTCGTTGCTGCCACCACCACCGTCACTACCACCAATTAGGAGACGAGACACTACATAAATAACATTATGGCACGTGGTCTCCTCTCCTGCTTTGGATCAAAGGGGGGCTCGGGCACGTCCCACGAAAAGCACGCAGCCGGGGCGACCGCGCATGTTTCGGCAGAGGAGCAGCAGCGGAGCGGACCGGTGCTGGTGGAGCTGTTCTCGTCGCAGGGCTGCACCACCTCGCCGGTCGCGGAGCTGCTAGTGTCGAGGCTTGGGAGGGGGGATTTTGATGGGACGGACCTGCCTCCTGTGGTTGTACTGGCCTTCCACGTGGATTACTGGGACTACATGGGCTGGAAGGACCCTTATGGGTCCAGCCAGTGGACTGTACGGCAGAAGGCCTATGTCGAGGCCTTGGGTCTGGACACCATGTTCACCCCCCAGATTGTGCTTCAAGGTAGGGCCCAATGTGTTGGCAACGATGAGAGTGCTTTGCTAACGTCGATCAAGGATGCACCTAGATATCCTGCACCGGCGTTCCAGGTTCGCATTCTCATCTGCTCTCAATATTATTTTTATATATTTTAATATACTCGATATTTTACACTAACTTAAGTTATAAGAAAATAAAGAATTTGAACTCCGAATACAATAGTTTAAAGAAAAGACTCTAATCACCTACCAGTTGCAAATAATTTTTTTTTTTTGTTTTTTTGTTTTTTTGTATAAACGATATTAAAAAAGAGAAATTAAACTCGTAACTTTATATACAGTAATGAATGTTCTTCACGTTGATGCATAAAAGTAAAACGCTCTTTTAATACAATTATATTTGCAAGTGCTTACATTCAATGATTGTCACCCCAATCATTGATATACTCAAAAGGTACATTCATCTTTATTTAATCATATTTTAACCTTAAAGCATGACTGCTAGAATATCTCGTAGCAAAGTGGAAATAGATTAGAGAAAATATTACATGACATGCACACTTTCTGGTACACCTAAAAGCAATGTCAACTTTTGACGCTTTTACAAATGGTGGAAGATAACTTTCTAAGTGTCAACTATTGTTGAAAGCTAAAGGCTAAAGTTAAGCAATTATGTCTTTTAAAGCCTATATTTCATTGATACATGTAACGTTATATTTCAAATTTAATATTGTTAGACTTTGAATTTGAACTAGTTCATTAAACATGAAATGATATATTTGAGATGTTATGTTGTTAGACTTTGAATTTGAACTACGCATTTAAATCAAAAACCATTTAATTATTCGTAAATCTAACAAAGATTTGGACATTAAAAAATGTTACCATTAGAAGGATTTTGGTTAGAGTAATTTTATCTGTTGTGGCTAGTAACACTTGGCTAATTACCGTTCACAAAATAGTGAAGGATAAATACTAGCAACTTGGTTTTGTTGTGGATGAACAGGCAACATTCCAAAGGCCATCACTGGCCTCCTTGCAAGTATCCCTAACAGGATCATTGAGGTCGAAGGTGGACAGCTACGGTGCCAATGTGATGGTGGCGCTGTACGAGAACGGGCTGATTACCGACTGCCCCAAGGGAGAGAACCAAGGACGTGTCCTGTCCAATGACTTCGTCGTCCGACGACTTGAAAAGCTCTGCACTGTGAAAGACATTGCTGCAAAGAAGACCATTTCTGGAACCATCAACTTCTCCTTGTGGGACGGTTACAATCCAGCCAAATGTGGCATGGCCCTCTTTGTTCAGAACCCTTCCCATCAAATTTTTGGTTTGCAGGACTTTCAGCTGCCGGACAATTGATACGGCTATACGTTTCCGCTGGCTGGACGGCCGGTATTGGAGGACGATTATGTACAGGATGTGTTCATAGTAGGGTTACTGATTTCTTTTTCTTATTTCAGTTTGTGTTTTTCCTTGCTTGTTGGGATTTGACATTTAGAATATGGGAGAGAAATTTGCGTTCAGGATTATAACTATTATTTTCGCATTTCGAATTTAATTCTTTGAATCACAATTTACCCGTTTGAAAGATGATGCTGGACAGTTTACATGCTAAACATTCAAACCCATTTCTTACTAGCACCGAAGTTCGAATCCTCCTCCATGTAGATTAGAATAGTTTAAAATATCACCTTGTCAAAGAACGAAAGTTCTTACTACGATAATACCAAACTTCCAAGAACACTAGGGCACCTCAACATTGAAAATATACAAGTACAAGCACGCTGATTACTATAGCGTCGTTCACTTATTTTCAACCTAAAACAAAACTTATTATCTACAAGAGGGCAGCTCAACCCGGAGCCTGTCTACTTCCACGCTAATTCGGAGTACCAACTACTTCCTCACAATATGAGAACCTCCCTACCACTTACCCGAAGATCGATGAGCAAAAAGAATACAACATTGCCATTTGAGAACCTCCCTTCCAATCCAAAAGCACTTACAGAAAAAGGTAATCACAGTTTACACTGAATCTACTGCTTCAACCTGTTGCCGAGCCAAGTATTTCTCCCTCCGCTCCTTCTGAAAAAACAGAACAAACCAAAATGTTACGCATAAGCACATAAGACTAAAAATTTAGCCCATTGTACTACGGATCAGATGTTTGGTAAAACTCATACCCATTCATCTATTACAAGACCTTCCCCAACATCCCGAGGGCCTGAGTCCACTGGAGGCGGCTTCTTACGCACTTCAAGTGCAGCCTCAGCTTCAGCCAATTGTCTGTTCAGTTTTTCCAGAGCCTATAAACCACAATGTCAAATACCGGAAAGAAAGGTATTTTCTAAGAGATGCAAACACAAGTACCATTAAGTAAGTCACATTCAACTTACAGGACTAGGGTGCTCTGCATCCAAAAATACAACACGCAAAATTCGCTCGACTGTCACTTGATCCTTTTGTTCCTCAAACTGGATGAAAAGAAAAGGTCAGTTAACAAAACTAAGGTCATCAATTGCATGATCCAATTCCATCGGATGTCTCCAAAGGGTTGTCATCAATTGTAAGATCATAAAAGCAACAAAACACTAAAATTGACAGTACTAATTTCCGACCGAAAAACACAATGCAAGCGAGCAACAAAATCAAATTCCACAAAGGCTCAATATAAGGTAAAATAAGCATAATACGAACAACTGGAAACAAGCACTCAAACATCCTGGCAATGTATGCATAAAATACAAAATGTGCTATGACCATGAACATTAAGTCTGCGAAAGAGCACTATATTACCAGCTCAGGCACATAGTCGATCCCTGCGTTCACCTTGAGACTCATAATCTTGAACTTAACCTTGTTCTTCTGATCCAAATGTTTCTCATTGTTCTCGGGTTGCTCCACAAACCTAAACACTGTCCATCATCAAATCCAAAGTCAATAAAAGAATTTACAACAATGATTAAGTATAAAGGTTTTTTTTTTTTTTTGGGTTGAGCGATAGTGTTAGTAGGTTAGAAATTGATTGTTAGGGGAAGGAAAGTCGGTGGGGATCAAACCCGCACCAAGGTGCATAGGCGTGAATGTTTTCCACCACTGTGGTAAAGTGTCGTCTGCAAAAAAGCGTTTGCATACAATGTGCGGGCATATACTAGTTTTTATCAAAAGTAAGTAAATTATCCACCAATGGAGCATCCAAATCATAAAGATTTGTTATTTGTAGCAACAGAGCAAGTGCAAGGGCATTACCTGTCGCAATTAAGCTTTCTCCCGGAGCAAGTATTCCTCCCGGAGGACGCATATAGCAACTTTTCGGCGCAGTAGTTTGAAACTAAACCAGCAAAAACAAAACCAATTTAAATAGTCAATGAAGCTAAATAAAAAATAATCACAGAGAAAAAAAAATAACAATTAAATAAATAAATGCAACATAAACCCACATGAGAAATAAATAAATAAATGCATTCTAAATTTTTGCTTAAAATACAAGTAATTATAACAACACAACTCTTAAGGTTGATGTCAGAGAGGAATTAGAAAATACCTTAAAAGCTACATGTGACCTGCTACTGTTCTTCAATCGGATCGCACTTTTCACCTGTTTCCCAGGTTCATCTACAAAATTAAACCCACAAATACATCATCCGTCAGCTACAGTAATAAGTGCTTTTAGAAAAAGCAGCGAGGGCGTTTAAATGAGAAACGAAGACGTACAAGGGAAGTAGAGTTTGTTGGCGGGGTCGAGTCGGAGTCGACGACGAGGAGGGAGAAGGGATCTCGCGACGGACGATACCGTTTTGGGCTTGGATTTGAATCCATCGCCGTGGAGGTTCTGCGTGGAAGAGGAAGACGACGACGTTTGGCCCCCCGACTGCCAGAACGGGCAGAGGGTGAAGAGCTTCGTGTCGGAGTGCGACTTGTGCCGGTGGTGGTGGTGGCTGTCGACGATGGCCATGCTTTCTTCACCGGAATCGGACACGTGGCATGCAATCAGAAGCTCGGTGATTGAATTCGCGTGTTTTCGTGTGTCGGTTTAGAAATTTCTCTACCTAGAATCGTCGGGAGCTCTTCTCTCTCTCTCTCAGTCCATCTGTGATTTTTGGAGTGGAAGTTTGCCAGGGTGTGAGACATAAAGCGGATGGGAGGAAATGATCACCTGCCACTCAACTCCGCGAATTCACCTGCACCCGCCGCGTGTAATTTTTTTATTCGCAACCTTAGGCGTCGTTTTCTTGCAATGAAGATACGTTTCGGATAGACGTCCGGATCAGCCACGTGTCGGTTATTTATGTCCGCGATGATATTTTGGTGGCTTTGCAAGTTGCGCCTGCCGTGCTTAAAAGGATAAATCGGCTCGCAGTGGCGACGACGAGCGAAAGATACTGAGTTTGTGAGTGAGCTTTTCATAAAGGATATTGTTTGTGTCCTTTTATGTAGGGATTTATTTGTCTCCGAATTACATATAACGAATTTTTAGTTTCAAACTATTATAATCAGAATCGTTCATTTATACGTGTGTAAGTCAATTAACAGTTTTGATAACAAGTAACATCCTTATGTTAAGTTCATTTGTTTTTATGCATATTTCTAAATTGGATATTTTTTTTTTCATTTATGATCTATAGATGATGATAAAGAGAATAAATAATTTGATTATAATATTCGGATAATAAATGTTTGATAATTGTAAGTGAAAGACAAATAAGTCCCCGCATAAACACAAGCATTATCCTTTGATAAATACATGTAGTGTCATTTCTGCCAAGGATGGGACGCGTCCTTTAGTTTATTTCTTGAACATCAATTTCTATATATAATGTGTCAAAGATTCCTCACCCTTGTTAATTTGAGCTAGAATCTAAGAAATTTTTATGTTTTGTAGCATTTGTTTGTAACTAAACAAGATATTTTGAGAACTGGAAATAGAATAACCAGGGCCAAAGCCAAAGGAACACAAAGCAAAAAAAAAAAAAAAAACAAGATATTTTGATGATTAGATTTATAAAATATAAGTGGGTAAGAGATTCAATTACCTCAGGCTAAGGATATATTAAGTACGCCCTAAATTCTCAAATTAGCATGATAGATTATGCCTCATAAGTGGCTAGCGTATCATCTTCAAGGTCAATGAAATAAATTTTTTTGTTTTGTTTATGTGACTTGAAGATACAGTGATATCAAATCATTTAGTATTACGATTTCGTGGTATTTTTCTTCACCTGTGAGTGAGAAGTCTTAAGTTCAATTCTCGTAAAAGACGAATTCAAACCAAATTAGTATAGCTAAACTATTGTTTTAACCTCTTCTCTCATCACACTTAGTGTAGATAATATTGAATGTATTAAAAAAAGATAGAGTTATATCAAACTTTTTGGTAATTTACTTATTACTACTAGCAAGCAAAGTAAATTAACAATTTCAAATAAATAGTAAAGTTTTGTGCTGAAACTAAAGAAGCTGCTCAAACGACAAGGAGTAATACATTTTCTAAACTCTGGCGGTTTTGTAGAATTTTGTGCTTATGATTAAAATAATTCATTTTACAAGTCACTCTGTAAAGTTATTTTTGTAAAAAATCAATAAAATATGATATTGCTTAATCATTGAATTTTATAAATATATATAACATATGAGCGAATGGAGTGTATGAATTTACTGGAATGTATATAGACCAATAGAGAGAATGCAGGTAAAAGTATTAGGAACCGTAGATCTATTTGTTACATTTAATTGACTAAATGGTCTTTATTGTAATTGAATTTTGTATAGATGATCTTTACATAATGACTTACAATATTAACTGTTCTAATCATTAACATGAATGTTTGTAAATCAATCACAAAGTGTTCTGAAGAAAAATTCCTCCTCATTCTTGAATAACAAAGTATGAATCGTTGTTTGAAACTAAATGCTAGTACAAGTTCCCACAATAACGGGCAAACCTTTTGGGTCCTATCAACTTGAAGGAATTAACTCAAGTGAAGGGTGCATTTTTGTTCACGATCCTAAGTAGTGGTATGATCATCTTCATATTGATCACTGTATGATAAGTTTAAATCTTGAGACTTGTGTTTATACAATTTTTAAAATTTAAACTCATATAATGATAATAAATAAGGTAACAACTATCACTATCACCTTAAGTGTGGTAAACAAAAATATTCTCCTAAGAGAAAAGGTAATAGGAATTATTAATGAATTCAGTTGAGGTGGGTATGGGTACTTAATGATGGTATGAAAATTAGGTGTGTGTGTTTTTTTTTTTTGGTCGGGCAATTGAGAATGGGAGAAATTAGGTGTGGATTTGTTTATTGCATTTACAAGATTAGTTGGCTAAGGTTGTCGGTGAGTAAAGCATTTAGTGTGGAGGTTAGGAATTGATTAGGTGAATAATGAAGTTTCTTGTGTGTATAAAGTTGTTGGCTAACCAATTATGGCTGAATGGGACATAACGATGCTTATCCTTTTCCTTGCTCTTCACAGGGAAAAAAAAATTATTCTATGGCCTCATCAAACCCTGCATCATGACCCAAATCCAATATTGGGTGTGTCACAATAGAAGTGTAATAGTGTAATTGACTGAATTGAGAATTTCTTTCTTTATTAGGTTTCTTAACTGTGAATAGAATTGTACACCCATGTATCTTTCCTTTAAGTGAGAATTAGATTTGTCAACCAGTTACAATTAGATTTGTCAACCTATAATCCGATAGTATAGTTGATTGACATGTCACGAAACAAATTTCGCCTCCACCATGATACCTCTTACATAACCCTTAACTTAATTATGACTTATATTTAGTTTACAGTCAACAATAAGATTAAAAGTGTTTTCATTTGGCACCTTAATAAACAAAGATAATATGTGACATTATTTTCTTCTTTTTTCTGTTAGATAGATTTTTTAACAAACGATATTATATATATTAGGTGGTAAGGAGTAGGTTAATTAAGGTTCACAATTTGCTAGAAGTAATGTGGTTCAAATTCGTATTTGGCGAGAATCGAACCTAAGATCTCTCACTTACAAATGCAGAAGAATATCACTAGACTGTAATATTAAGCAACCACTAGATATATATTATATATAATAAAATGTACTACTTGAGAACAATTAGTTCGAAAAGACAAAAAAAAACATTAAATAGTGATACTTACAATTACTCAATAGAACTCAATGGTCATGATTCCTTCTAAAATTATAAGGAATTCGATCATTAAATGCATTAATTAAATTCTTTTAAAGAGTAATAATGCGAATACTAACTAATTTCCCAACCATTACACTCGCTATTTTACATAAAATGAATCTTACATAGGTCCCACATGATTTTATAATCTATTGAATTTCACATCATGTAACATAATCTATAAAAAGTTGATATATCATGTTATTTTTTCAGTAAAAAGCACGCAATACAAGGGAAAATTGTTATTCGCATGTCTACTTAGATTTCGTTTGCAGTTGAAAATAAATTCTAGTGAAATGTGAATTAAGTGGCATTAGATTCCAAAGTTTACATTTATACCCTTGGTTTCTCTACATTTGAACATTTAAACTAATGTTTACTCTCCTTGGTCTTTAAGTGTCTCAACTGGCAACTGCACCAATGCTTGCTGCCACTATCCAAGCCCTTGTTGGTGCACTCATGATTTTCTTTTTCGTCTCTATTTTTGTATGTTTGAGTTGCAAGGCTAGCTTAATTTCTGGTATATGTGTTTTGGTTGGGAGATAGTGTACGTTTGTTTGGTGTAAAGAGAGATGTGTAGATGGATTTACATAAGTTATAAGGCTAGTTAGGGTGGTCGTGGGGACCCGGATTTGAGATATATTGAAGATACAAGGGGCGGTTCCACCGAGTTTCTGGAGAAAACAGCCCCCAGGTTGGGATATGGTTAACCATGGGACGGGTTTGCGTAGCGACCAGCCCAGCAAAGCTTATGATAGCAACATCACGCATTTCTGGTCTCAATAGTACTCCCTTGTGTGCGTGTGTGTGAAGCCGTCAGCCGTTTGTGGGTTGTGAGACCTACTTCCGTCAACGGTTGATAGCAAAACACGTAACACAATAACATTTCTTGTGCTTTTTGTTTATTACATTGACAATTAATCAACTGTTAACACATTTCTCATATATTCTAGTACCTTTTGAGGGTTTTAACCTGGACTTATAATTTAGGGAATTTTAACGAAAAGCATCCGGTACTGTTCATTTTAACGAAAAACCACATTTTTACACTAAAAAGTCAATCCTGGTACTATTCACTTTACCCTTTATTTTGTCCTTATTATTAAAACTCAAAGTTTTCAAGTCATTTTCATTAGTTTTCCTTATAATTTAATCATAATCTCCAACCCAAACATCAAATCCAAGAGTAGCGGCAATTTCGTGGTAAAAATCTGGAGACGTACATAATGCAGTTAACATCAGAAAGTGTTGTTCAAATAATAATAATAATAATAATAATAAATAAAATCAGAAAGTGACCCCAAAATTAGCAATATTCACCACAATAAGTTGAACATTATTTATTATTTTTGGTCGAAGGTTGAACTTTTTGAAATTAAGCAAGTACGAGATTCATTGATTGAGAGGAAATGAGACCTTAAATTTAATCTCTCCTATTGGAGAAGAACTTTCATTTAGATTTGGCAGAAATGTAAATTGGGATGTAAATTTAGTTTTTGGGTTAATTATGCTAACACCCCTTGAAGTTTTCACAAAAGCCTCTCACATTGGAGACATTACACAAACACCCCTCAAGTTTTAATTCCCTTTCATATAACCACTTCAGTCAAAATTTCGCTTATGAAAATTACTAATTTACCCTTATTAATTACTTGAAACTAATAAAGAAAAAAATTATAATTATATAAAAAATTATAAATCATTTAACACTTAAAAAAAGGACAAGAAGAAGACAATGCGGACAAAAACAAATTAAGAAAAATTTAATTATTACTTCAATAATAATATTTTGTTAAAAAAAAGGAGTTGTTCATCTTCTTCTTCCCCTCCCACCCCATGTCCTTCTTTCTCCATCACCACCATCCATTCAAACTTTGAACAAACCAAAAACGATCTCTCCATCTTCGATCATGTGTAAAATATTATTAATTTTACACAAACAAAAATGAGATTAGCAATAATAATTAAGAAAAAATTAGTCCCTCATATGTGGGTGTGTCAGCATCGATGGCGTGAAAAAAAAACATTGTACAAGGTTAGTGAAGCAGCTTAATTCACAAGAGCGGACAAATTCGCACCGGCAATATTCGCGGTGACGGGTAACTTCTCTTAAAATCACTCTAAACTTCTCATTTCTTCCAAACAAAAAGCCCTAATAAACCAAACAAAATAATAATTAAATTTTTCGAAGAAGACGGCCATCGCTTTCTTCTTCCTCAGTAAAACATTTTCGACACTCGACTTCTAGTCCATGGTTTTCTTCTGCCGCCCTAAAGGATAATTCAATTTGCTGTTATTTTATTTTATTTTTTTGCTCAATTTTGCTGGAATTTTTGGTTCATTGGGATTAGGCCCCAAATCCTCTTTCTAAACCCCAATAATGAAAAGAAAAAAAAAATTATCGCCTCCAAATTAAGTTCACTTGTTGTTTACTTTATCAGCATCTCTATTTTCATAAAATATTTTATTTTTCAAAGTAATAATTAATTTTTTTTTTCTTAATTTGTGTTCGTGAATGGTCTTCTTCTTGTCTTTTTTTTAATGGTCTTCTTCTTGTCTTTTTTAAGTGTTTAATGAATATAATTTTTATATAATTATATAGTTTTTCTTTATTAGTTTCAAGTAATTAATAAGGGTAAATTAGTAAAATCATAAGAATTTTTTTGACTTAGGGGGTTATATGAAAGGGAATTAAAATCTGAGGGGATTTTTGTGTAATATTCAAACATGAGACGATTTTGTGAAAACTCAATAAACCTCAGAAGGTATTACTGTAATTAATCATATAGTTTTTTGCATCTCAAATTTGCACTTTCTCATTGGAAATGCCCCATGAGCATCTCTAACCAGCTTCCTAACTGAGCTCCTAACCCAAAATATTGGGAGAAGTAAAGAAAATTTGATCTCCAATCACACTCCTTTTTTATATTTTTTTAACCTTATGAGGTTAAAATTGTCATTGCATATAGGGTATACATCATTTAACATTAGATTTTAATATGAATTGTATTCTATATTATGTGGTGTGCTAATAAAAAAGGTCATACAAAACAAAATAGAAAAAACAAACCAATATATCTCAAAATATCTATATTTAGGGAGGCAGCATTTAAAGTATTTGACGAATCCGCAAGTTAACTTTAGGCCCAAGTTACTTTGTTCTCACTTTCAAAAAAATTTAATTCTGCAAATATTTAAAAACAAAATATAAAACATTGCATTAACAAACATGGTAAATAAGAGAAAAGGTAGTGAAAAAAGATTCAACGAGTAAATCATGAATTAAGCAAAGTAATTCATGAAAAAAGGATGACAGATACGTAACCATAAACCTAAAATCGAAAAAAATACCTAATTAACTGCTAAATTCTAACAGTATTGGGACCCCAGCAAACCAACTCCATGACTTTTTTCACCTTCAACTCCTGTGATCTCTGCATCGTCATAGAAGTTGCAGAAGACGATGAGTAGGAGAGGTTTTTGGCTTGGGAATAGGATCTGATGTTGTACTTGGCATGCTGGTGGACCGATCTCAGAACCCCATTCCACCTGCAGACTCCTTGGTCTTTCAGTGCCTCCACTGCTCCAATACTTACTGCCACCACCCAAGCTCTGCAGGCTGCACTCATTTTTTTTTTCCTTATTTTTTGTGATTCTTTTTGTTAGAGTATGAAATGAGATTTTGGGGTTTTCTTGAATTTTAATTGTGGTTATATATATATATATATATATGGTCAGCTGATATGGTAAAAAAGTGAGATTCAAGACAGTGGCGCCAGTTTAGGAAAACTGTTGGGAGTGTTGACGAGAAAATAAAGGTTTGGGCCATAAACCTGTGGCAAGAGGGTATCAAAACCGCGTGCTGATGCTTGTTTTCTTGGGATGAGGCCCAAAGGAAAAGGCAAAAGTTCCCAAAGAAACAAAGTTCTCGAATTTGAATATTGCGATAAATTTCACGAAATGTTGGTCACATCGCACAATGAGCAAATAATAATTTGGTATCAAATTCATTATGGGAACATAAAACATCACGAAAAATGGGACCACATCTCGTGTACAACTTATCAAATTGACTACTCTGCCCTTGACTAAATATGCGGACTATTAATCAAACTCTAACATGCTGACGGGTCACATTCTTTAAGAAATTAAAAAAAATCAAGCATCTAGATCAAATGCCCCTTAAGAAAAATATATTTTCTAGAATTTTCACATACCACATTGCCACATAAATATATTTTATAGTATGTTTTTTTATTAGTTTAAAATTTATTAAATTAATATTTTCTTATCGTGTAACAGGTTATCCACTTGCACATCTGGACTGACTTGTTATCTTAATAGATGCTCATTGGGTTACTGATAATGATCCGATTCGTTAACATGCCGACCTGAAACATGTTAGTTTCGTGTCGGGTTAATGGGTAACATTAATTGCCAGACCTACCTATAAATAATTGAGTTACTCTCCATAGTACTAATTAGTTTTGTTGTGAAACCTCAACTTCTTCACTTACACTAGTTTGATATATATTTACCAGCCAAAAGGATCACATCCTTTGATCAAAAAGAAGGAATTGTAAGAGTATGAGTATGATTCTTACAAGTCTTGGGATAATTGATATTATGAAGAAGTCTAAATCATGTTGACAAGAGTTAATCCAATCATATTGGTATATTGAGGACTCTTGTGTTTGCTCGTTTATAGGACTCATATTGATATAAGGAATGCAGTCTTGTATTTATAGGGCGATCCAGGTCTTGTAGTATAAAACCACAAGCCCCTGCTCTCACAAAAATACGCTCTTATTGTTCCAATTACCAATAACTTGGAGAGCATTGAGTTTTGCAGAAAGGAGAAGGTTGTGTGTAGATTTCTCTAATGGCTCTTAATCCTAATTAGTTGAACATAATTCTATTCTTTCATGTGATCAATGTCGTGAAGAACATGTGTGTTGCTGTGGGAGATATTCATCAACCAATGCATGTCGGGTTCTATCAGATGAGGGAGGAAACTCAATAGCCTTGAGTTGGTACAGACACAAATCCAATCTTCACCATGTGTGGGATAGGGAGATCATACAACAAGCTATAAAGGACTATTATGATAGAACACACGGGAAAGACTTCGGCAAACAGTTTGCATGTATGTGTTGCAGATATTACTTTAGTATTTGCATATACAGAATATATTTGGAGTGATGATTGTGATTTAGTTGGCTAAATCTTATGTTCTTGGCTAGTTTATTATAGAGCTTATATGGTTGCTCTTACATGTGATATCAGAGCCTGTGAATTTAACAACTAAATTCGATCAAAAAATTGGTTCCTAAAAATCTGCAATGTTGTAGCAAACTAAATCTTTTATATCAAGTTTGTCTATTTGGTTTTCGAAGAACAACTAATACAACATTGTTTGCAGCATACCCTTTAAGTTTAATTTTATGAGCGTTGACTGCTTAAAAGACAAAGAATAGGGTTTTGTCTTTTCAAATTTTTTTACCGTTAGCAGTCTGAACAAGGTGAGAACTTGCGATTCTCGATATGGGTTGGAGATTTTCTTCCCACGCCTGCATAATTGAAGATGTATGTATCAAATTAGTAAATTATATCTTATTTAAACATCATAATTTTGATTTTGAATACATTGCTTCTGCTGCAGTTGGTTATGATGTTTGTAGGTTGAGATAATTTTGGTTTATTAATTCCCCTTGTATTATTAGTGGAAATGAATAAATTTGTATTCTAATATGCTAATTGTGTTATTAAGAACCATTGAACAAAGTTCATCTTGTTTCTCTTGTTTTATTGAAATTTGAATGAGAGTTGTCTTTTTTTTTCTGGGAATTAGTGCCAACGAGATTCTGGCCAATAACTTTGGCGATGATTTTTGTTCCACGTGTCTGTAACAATGGCGATTGACTTCGATAATCTGCAATGGTACGAGGTCCACAGGAATTAGGAGTAATGGCAATCCGCATGGATGAGTCTTGAGCATTGAAGGATAATTCGGAGTTGAGGAAGTGCAATCGGGTTGACGAATATAGGTCCAGTGATACATTCGGGTAATTCAGTCCACTATTTCACGCATGATTAATTGTTCTCTTATATGCATGATTATAGTGTGATGAGTTAGAGCATGATGAATTAGGGCTTTTGTTATTTCGAGTATGCTTGTTTATATATATATATATATATATATATATATATATATATATATATATATATTGTGAACACATGATTAAACTCGAAATCCTATATAGATGCCAACTTGTGATTTATGTGAGATGTTTGAAATCATCTTTTGCTGCATAATAATAATAATAATAATAATAATAATAATAATAATAATTGGTGTAGCATTTGATCTACATATGCTCTTCTATTTTAAAGAGTCTATGGTTATATTAAAAATTGGTCATGGTGGAGGATAAAACTTGTTCATATACAGCACCTATTGTCTCTTTTGTCTGTTTGGTGTTGGGACATATACGATGAATATCAATTTGGGATGGAATCATTTTGACTGCACGTGTACTCCATAAAATGATATTGTCTGAATGAATTTTGGCAAGTATATATGCTTAATGACTAAGTGGTTCTAAATATTAAACTAATGGAATTTGGATGGCATTGTTCCTATTTATGATACATAAACTAAATGCATCAGTTTTGGTTCGAGTATCATGTAGGGAATTTTTTTGCTAATTGAATATGTATATAGAGATAGCATTCGTGCATAGACATTGCATATTGATGCATGCATACAAGAAAATATATGAACAGATGAATGAACATATATATGTGAAATATGTTTTGGGTAGAATCGTTATTGTCCATATATGGCAGATCTGTATACATTGGTGTAATTTGGGTTTTATTTTGTAATGATCTTATTTTCTTTAGTTGACCCAATTTAGATTTTGTGGCGATATATATTAATCTTAACCTTAAAAAAAATTTTACTTGTATGATTATATAGGTCAAGCTATAAATTTAGAGAATTAGCTTGTGTGATCCATATACAAGGATGATAAACAAATTAGCTTATGTGAGCTGTTGTCTATATTTTTGTACAACACAAATTGACATTGTCGAAAACATATTGATTTAATTTATGAATTCATAAGGAAGCCTGTGCTTATTATATTATGAAAATCATGGAGTTTAAGATGCATGCTTATTGTATATATATATTTGTGATTTCATTTATGATGCATGTTTTTGTTATTATGTTTTGGTTGAAATCGCAAATAGAGAGGAAGATGAATTTGGAATTCTCCAAAAGAAATAGTGGTCTTGATTAGCTCGTTTTAATCAAGAAATATTGTTGTGATATATATCCAGACATTATCAAGATTTGGTTGATCTTGCTCAATGGATATGAAACTAGTTAGGATCAAATTGAATGCAAGAATATTGTGCTTGCTATTCTAATTTTGATCATTGTTGAAACTGGTGATTTTGAGTTTATCTGAGATAAGTTTTTCCGAATGGATTGTGACTATCTTTTGATACATAGACTGTTTGCATAATGATTTAGGTGTATATGACTAAACTGAGATTATGCAATTGGTGAAGAATAGGGAACCAATTGGTTCATATCTCCGGTTTCTTTATCGGATGTGCATCACATTCTGCTTATGCTTAAGTGGGAGAATCGTATGTTGGAATGTAAGCATAAGGCTAAGAGTATTTAGGCCGGCCATTATAATTCATTTGGATGCTTAAAAACCAGTTTATGGTTTTATTGGGAGAATCATATGTTGGAATGTAAGCATAAGGCTAAGAGTATTTAGGCTCGCCATTATAATTCATTTGGATGCTTAAAAACCAGTTTATGGTTTTATTGAAGCAATTGGTTGAATTATTTGTGTTACTTAATTTTTTTAAGTAATGAGAAGGATCATATTATGTTAGCATTCAAAAGGAAATGGATTTGGTTTCCATATGGATTCTGATTAGTCATTCATTGTATTGGAATGATTTTAGTTAATTTAGTTGATATTAACTTGTACTTAACTTGGTTGTGTTAAGTATGACCTAGATAAGTGGGAGCAAATTGGTTTGGTTTTGCTATATTGGTTCACATAATTACAAAGTGCAAATTAAGTATGTTGTGACTTTTGAGTTAATTCTGCGATGTAACAGAAAAGATTCTTAAGTTCAATACTTTAAAATGCATAGGTAAGTTGTATGTGAGATCCAAAAGATTTGGTGATATGATAAAGCTGTTGATTGATATAACTGTGCTATTCATACAATTATGAATAATTTTAAATTGACAGCCTACTGTCAAGAATGTTTGGTATTTTTATATCAATTTTGGGCTATATGAGTGGGAGTAGACATCTTGGTTTACTCTTGAACTTAGATACATTGCTATGAACATGAACTGGACATTGTGATTTGTAAGTTAAATCTGTATTTTGTGTTGCAGAGGCAATTATAAATTCATTGTTTTGGCTTATGTAAGCTGGTTGTGTCTATGTACTAGTGTGTTGATGAATGACTTATGTGATCACCTTTATAATAATTTGATATGATTATCTGTTGTGATGAATCATACTCAAGTGGGAGAATGTAAGGGTATGAGTATGATTCTTACAAGTCTTGGGATAATTGAAGTATGATTCTTACAAGTCTTGGGATAATTGATATTATGAAGAAGTCTAAATCATGTTGACAAGAGTTAATCCAATCATATTGGTATACTGAGGACTCTTGTGTTTGCTCGTTTATAGGACTCATATTGATATAAGGAATGCAGTCTTGTATTTCTTATGGGATTGTTATAGGGCGATCCAGGTATTGTAGTATAAAATCACAAGCCTCTGCTCTCACAAAAATACGCTCTTATTGTTCCAATTACCTATAACTTGGAGAGCATTGAGTTTTGCAGAGAGGAGAAGGTTGTGTGTAGATTTCTCTAATGGCTCTTAATCCTAATTAGTTGAACATAGTTCTATTCTTTCATGTGATCAATGTCGTGAAGAACATGTGTGTTGCTGTGAGAGATATTCATCAGCCAATGCATGTCGAGTTCTATCAGATGAGGGAGGAAACTCAATAGCCTTGCGTTGGTACAGACACAAATCCAATCTTCACCATGTGTGGGATAGGGAGATCATACAACAAACTATGAAGGACTATTATGATAGAACACACGGGAAAGACTTCGGCAAACAGTTTGCAGATATGTGTTGCAGATATTACTTCAGTATTTGCATATACAGAATATATTTGGAGTGATGATTGTGATTTAGTTGGTTAAATCTTATGTTCTTGGCTAGTTTATTATAGAGCTTATATGGTTGCTCTTATAGGGATCACATCCATCTCATCTGTAGGTTGATTGCAATTGCAGCAAAATTTAATCTGAAATTGGATAACCTCTTAAAATTGATCAAATCCACGTTAAGATTGCTTTTATGATATGGATCTACCAGAATACACTTCATACGTCCTGTCCATGAACAAATAATGAGGGTAGACTAGTTAAATAAGTTTAGGGTTGAAACCTACGATGCATGGACACGCAAGAAAGCAACCGTATCCCGTATCTGACACGCTGAGGATACGGATACGCAGATGATACGCGTGGATACGCGTTCGATACGTATTGGAGTGAAAGGATACGTTTGAGACTGATGAGATACGCGTATTGTATTGTCCAGATACATGTATCCTACTTTTCGGATACATTTGAAACTGAAATAGGAGGATAATCAAAAAAAAAAAAATCACAAAAAATCCGCATAGAATCGTGATTGATCGAACTTAGTTAACTGAAATCACTCTAAAATCAAAGGATAATCAGAAAAAAAATAAAATTCGGATTTACCTCTAAGAAATCACTCTGCTTGGGAGACTTTCACAAATCCCCATTGACCGTCATCTGCAACTGTTCCGTGACCCGTCGTCTCCATCTGCAACTGCGCCATCGTCTCCCTCTTCTTCGTCTACAACTGCTCCGTCGTCTCCTTCATTTGTCTGCAACTCTTGGTGAGTCGTAACCGGTGAGCTTTAGTTGTTTTTTCACCAGTCTCTCAGCTTTACTGATTCTACCCATTCGAAGACAATAATATTATAATACCAATTGGAAGACAATCTGATTCCCCTAGGAAAAGAATATAATATTATAGTACCCACTACCCATCCATTCCACTACCCGCATAGTCCATTCAAATCTGACAACTTTGGCTTTTCTGTTTTTAACTTTTTCTGTTATTATAATATTATTGTATTTTGCATATTATAGTATATTATTGTGTAGTGGTATGGATATTTAGATTATAATAACTTTTTCTTTACAGTGGATTAACTCTTACTTTTTATATGTTTGTTGATTTAGGAAAATGAATCACCCTAATAATCATGCAAATGATATTGCTAATCCGGATGATAATGCTAATCTGGATGAGATTGTTGAAAATGATCATACTCCGTTGTGGAAGTATGTCAAAACTTACAAAGGATCATACTCTAGGGTCAGGTTTCATTTGTTAAAAATGGCTGGAAATGGGGTCGCACCTTGCAGTAAGGTTACTGATGAAAATCTTGCAGAAATGAAAAAGTTAATTCGGGAGTGTGAATATAAGCTGAAGAGTTCTGCTCCTAAGAATGTTTCTTTGCCCAACACTGGTTCTTTTTGTTATGATCAACTTGAAGTGAATCTTGATCCAAAGAAGAGAAAAGGAACAAGTAGGCCTCTTAGTAAAGCTTTTAACAAGGAAGCTCGAGATCAATGTGATGCTGAAGTCGCAAGGATGTTTTATACAGGTGGCTTATCATTTAACCTTGCAAGAAATCCGCATTATCGAAACTCATATGTTCGAGCTTCTACACTTCCAGGGTATGTTCCACCAGGTTACAATGCACTAAGAACTACTTTTCTGCAACAAGAGAAGAGTCACATTAAGCAATGCCTCCAGCCAATCAAGCGCACATGGAGCACTAAAGGTGTAAGTTTGTGCAGTGATGGGTGGACAGATGCACAAAGGAGACCACTTATTAATATTATGGCAACTTGTGAAAGTGGGCCTATGTTCTTGAGGGCAATTAATTGTGAAGGTGAATATAAAGACAAGTATTGTATTGCCAACTTCCTTACAGAAGCTATTAAAGAAATTGGTCATGAAAATGTTGTTCAAGTGATCACTAACAATGCTCCTGTCTGTAGAGTTGCTGAGTTACTTATTGAGGCCCACTATCCCCATATCTTTTGGACACCCTGTGTTGTTCACACTCTTAATCTTGCTTTGAAGAGTATATGCTCTCCGAAACAAACAGATGTTTCGTATGATGACTGCAATTGGATTTTCAACTATTGCAAGTGATGTTTGGTCCATAAAATTTTTTTATTATGAACCATAGCATGAGATTGTCTATGTTTAATGAACATTGCAAACTAAAGTTGCTCTCCATTGCCGAAACAAGGTTTGTTTTCTCCAATTTTTTTCCTTTTTTTTTCTTATTCAATTATGAGCTATCCTAATTATTAAATTTTTCAGATTTGCTTCCACACTTGTGATGCTTAGAAGATTTAAGGAAGTAAAGGAAGGTTTACAACAAATGGTGATTAGCCCGAATTGGGCTTTGTACAAAGAAGATGATTTGGTTAAAGCAATGACGGTGAAGCAAAAAATATTGGATGAGTACTTTTGGGAGAAGATTGATTATATTCTTTTCTTTACAGCTCCAATATATGAGGTTATTAGAATGGCTGACACAGATAAACCTTGTCTTCATTTGGTGTATGAGTGGTGGGATGCTATGATTGAAAAGGTGAAAGCTGCTATCTACAGGAATGAGCGCAAGGCATTACATGAAAAAAGCAGCTTTTTTGATGCGGTGTATCGCATTTTATTATTAGAGCGATGGACTAAAAGTAGCACACCACTTCATTGTTTGGCGCATTCATTAAATCCAAGGTAATGATTTTGCTAATATCCTTATAAACTCTTCCAAAATTAATCTTTAGCTTTATGATTATATTTTTAAAGTGCTATTTCTTTTATTTTAGGTATTATAGTTCAGAATGGCTCCAAGAAGACCCTAGTCGGGTTGCTCCACACCGAGATGTTGAGCTTACAACTGAAAGGAAAAAGTGTTTTGAGAGATACTTTTCCAATGAGGAAATTAGAAGAAGTATCAATGTGGAGTATGCCTCTTTCTCTATGTGCTTGAATGACTTTGGAGCTATTGATTCTATGAATGATAGGTTTCATTTGGAACCAGTAATGTGGTGGATTGTCCATGGAGCTTCTACACCTAGTCTCCAATCCATAGCGTTGAAGCTAATTGGACAACCTTGTTCCTCCTCTTGTTGTGAAAGAAATTGGAGCACTTACAGTTTTATTCACTCTCTAAGAAGGAACAAGATTACACCACAAAGAGCCGAGGATTTGGTATTTGTGCATAATAATCTTCGTCTTTTATCAAGGAATAACGCAACCTACAAAGAAGGTATTAGTCAATTGTGGGATGTTGGAGGAGATGGCTTTGAAAACTTGGGTGAAGAAAGTGTCGGGATGCTTGATATTGCTAACCTTTCACTTGATGAACCGTCATTGGAGACTACTTTGATTACTGGAGGAGACATCATGAACGTGGAAGTTGAATGAGACTTTTTTTTTTTGTTAATTTCATTTGGATGTTCTTTTTACTTTTTCAAGTTTTAAGACTAATTGCTTGTTGGATGGACTATCTTTCTAACAGTTTAGAGTTTATTGAATAATAAATTTGAATGCTTATTTTATAATGTTTTAGATATATTTTTATTTATTTATTTATTTATTTATACATATTTTTAATTGCCGTATCCTTGACGTATCGTATCCTTGTTTTTTGAAATTTGACGTATCCCCGTGTCGTATCGTGTCGTATCCCCGTATCCGTGTCCGTGTCCATGCATCATAGGTTTAAACAATGATACCAAAATTTGACAACGCCATGTTTGCCCAATGAGCAAATGAAATTATGTCATTTAATTCTCATGGAAAAAGGGATGACATGATGCATACTCATAATCTAAAATCTAAATTACATAATTACAATCTAAAATCTTAGGTTATTAGGACCCCAGCAGTTCAATTCCATGACTTTTCTCAACTTCTCCTCCTGTGATCTCTGCATCGTCATAGAAATCGCCAAGGAAGATGAGTCGTAGAACAGTTTCTTGGCTTGGGAATAGGATCTGATGTTGTTCTTGGCATGTTGGTGGACTGATCTCAGAACCCCATTCCACCTGCAGATTCCTTGGTCTTTGAGTGCTTCCACTGCTCCTGTACTGGCTGCCACAACCCAAGCCCTGCACCCTGCACGCTGCACTCATTTTTTCTGATTTATTTTTTTTGTTGCTGATTTTGCAATGATCAAAGATCTTGATCGGTGAAACTGGTGAAAGTTTGAGAGGGAGAGTATGAAATGAAAAATCTGAATTGGTGTTTTCTTTGAATATATTTATGCATGCATATATATAGGAAGCAAATAGGAGGAGGGGTCAAGGCACGGCCACCAGTATGAGGGAAGTGGAAATCGGTGGTGGTAATAGGTGAAGAAAACAATGTGCAAAGCTCGTGTTTGATTTTTAGATGACTTTTAGATTAAAATGATAAGTAAGATTAAAATTTAATTTTAGTCATTTGATACATTAATAATCTTATTTATTAATTATATTTTTATTTTTTAATTATTTCTCTTTTTCTTCCTATTTTTTAATGTATTAATTTTATTTCATTAGAATTATAATTTTCATTTCATTTTTCGTAATATATTTTTTTGGTGACCACTATTCATCCAAGACATAAATTCAAACAGTAATCCGACAGTACTATTCATCTACAGTGTCGTAGTGATGCCAGTGATCATTCTACATGCAAGTTCAACATTAAACCGACAAGATACCATTCATCCACAGTGTTGTCGTACCAATAATATTTACTACATGTGCAAGATCAACAGGCAAAATACAGATCATTTAGACATACCACTATTCACGAATGAACCAACAGTCATCCAGCTTGTGTTTCCACAGTCACTTCGTGATTCTAAATATATGAGTAATGCAAACAACCAATTTCATGAAACTAATCTCAATGTAAGAAATCATTCATTGTTTCTAAAGCTCTGCGGTCAAAACTCCAAAAAGATTAGTCTTCTCCAAAACAAGAAATTGGTATCTAATTATATATCTAAAAGAACCGAAAAGAACCTAAAAGAGTAAATCTAAAATTGTTATCTAAATATATATCTAAAAAAACCGAAAAGAACCTAAAAGAGCAAATCTAGGTAACAAAATTATGGATATATAAATTAAAATTACCATATTCTGGATACGTTGTCAAAGCATGTTTTCGACAACAAGGAAAAATGCACGTTGTGCTGGTAGTGTTGTTATATCCTATTTTCTTGTAGTGTTGCTAGCATTCTTCATTTTTACTTTTTGAATTAAGTCGTGAAAGAAAACTCACAATTCATACATGCGCACAATTTAATTGGCAAAAACAATGTGCTTATTTTTTATGAGATTGCATCCAATTTCTAATTCTCTTCTTATAGTTTTTGCTAACTTAAATATGCTGTCTCAATCCATTAAATATCGAATGATTTTAACCCAAATTTCTATAGAAACTTGAGTAGTCCATATCAGTTCATCCGATGCATGATACTCATAATTAGCAAGATCGTCGGAAACAAAATTCACAAACCGACAGAATTGAGAATATAAAGTTGATACACAAGGCAGAAATGAATTGAAAAAATACCAAGGGCTAACCCCACGTAATACGCACCTCTCAAGACTCTCATTCTTGACCCATTATTATTATTAAGCCTAAAGTTGGTCTATGAATTGCACTACTTATGTTGGATATGAATTAGGGTTTCGATTTTGACTTATTCACCATTTTGCCACTGGCCATTCCCGAAAACCTGGCTGTCATCTCCTCATAACCTCACCCAAACTTTGGCAGGCCACCTTTCTTCTGCCATCTTCAACTACTTCCTAGCACTTTTTTCAAATTGTTCTTTTGATACGGGTTATGTTTGTGAAGTTTGTCTGCTGGCGAAACAAACTTGTCAACTTTTGTTACTAGTTCTATTTCAACGTGGAGTCCTTTTTTCCTTTTTTTTTTATTGTGATGTCCTAAAAAACATCTCTCTCTTGATGGGGCTTATTATTGTTTATCCATCGTTGATGACTTTTCTTGATTTACTTGGGTTTTTTTTATGCGCCAAAAACATGAAACACAAAAGATCTTTGCAAGGTTTTTTTTTTTTTTTTACTTGCATTGAAACACAATTCCAAACAAAAGTCCAACAAATATGAGTCGATAATGGGTGAAATTTTTTTTCTATGCGGGATTTATTTGCCTTTCATGGTATCATTTACCAATGCACTTGTGTCTACACACTACAACAAAATGGTGTTGTAAAAAGAAAACATCGGCATCTTCTTGAGGTAGCTACAACCCTCTGTTTTCAATCCAATCTAGCTCCTAAATTTTAAGGGGATGGTTATAAATCATATCCCTACACCTTCTATTTTTTTGAATAAACGAAATTATATACACTAAAAGGGGTTAGGGAGTGGGCTAAGCCACATAATGGGCTAGCAATAATGTGGTTCGAATTCGCCTTTGGCGAGAATCAAATATAAGACATAAGACCTCTTACTTGTCACTTAGTACTACGGTCTAGTGATATTCATCTTTATGTTGCCCTAAAAACTACTTAGCCTACGTGGTGCGCATGCCAAATAGCTAATAAGCTAACTACGTCCTTCGGTCGAATGCAGGGTGTGTCAACTTGTCGGCCGAGCTCGGTTAGGGACTAAAAGAATGTTGATGTGGCGTTGGACGCACTGAAGACTTCTGAATCTTGCGACTGCGGCCAATGAAGGAACACGTCTCGGCCTTCAGGTTCTAAAGCCTAAAGACAAGGCTGCTAGTTTTTGCGAAGTTCAATATCAAATTTAGTTTTTCAGTGTGCCGAATGCTAAGTAACCTAGTAACACCTCACATCGCCGAGAAGGCTGATAAGATGACACCTTCCAACAAGGATTCAGAGACTCTTTGTTGACCGAGACTTGGATAGATAACCAGTCAGTCTTGAAGCAGTGTTGTTTATCCAAACTGAAGGTGTGTTGGCGGAAAAAGTGTAAAATTAAAAGATCTCAAGATGTTTGAGAGCGACGGTTCGCATAGAGTAAGAGTTTGCACATGACAAATTTGTATGTTGATTTGGAAGGGCCTTTAATGTTGCTAATACTACGATACTTATAATGCTAGTACACTTGATTGCATGTTGTAAAACTGCTTGCCATGAGTATCCCGCGTGTAGAAGTAATATTCCTAAGAATATTGGATAATCTCGCGTGAAGGAACTCCCACTTTTTTGGAATGTGATAATGCATGAAATCCCATCAATTTGGAATTTTAAAGATGTGATAATGCAACTCTAGTGGATATAATGCATGCAATTGCATTAAAACCAATCAATGCCTACCATTTCAACAAAAAAATAAAAAATAAAAAATAAATCAATGCCTACCATTATTTGGTGGCAATCCAAACTAATGGTCCAATCCAAGTGCCATGCATAATAATAGTGAATTATCATGTTGTGATCTAATCCAAACAAATTTGATGTTATCTTGATAGTAGTCATTACGATGCACGACTCTTCACTTGTGGCTTTTCCTGATGTGGTATATCCCAAGTAGACCCGCATAAAGAGATTAAAGAGAGAAGTCCTCCTTCATTTCAACTCTTCATCAAACATTAAACTTTTGGAATAATCTCATAGGATTTATACTGATAATAATATACCATAAACCCCACTTAAATTATTTCATTCCAATTGTAACACCTTATTGCATCTCATCCAACGGTCTAGAACTATGCTCATTCAACAGCCTCGATTGCTCGGGTTGATGGTGTAAAATCAGGTACAAACAAAATTTATAATAAAAATCTGTATAAATTTGCTGAAATCCATACAATTGTAGAGTCTATTAAAATTCTTCGACGATCGTACCTTACATTCTCTGTGACCAATCGATTGACCGGTCTAAGGTTTGAAACCGTCGAGAGGTGTTGGAACATCCATTGTCCCACATCGGCCAGGAGGGAAGAAGGAAAGCAGTTTAAATAGAAATACCCCTCTCTAACTAATACCGAGGCATTTTGTGATAAAACTCTACACCTGAGGATTGTGTAGGTGATTAAGTGGGGACAATATCGGTGTTGTTTGAGTGGGCCCTCGGCATGTCAACTTGAAAAATTTCACATGGTATCAGAGCCAGTGGATGGGCTCGTACGTGATTGGGTGGGTCACCTTTGGCCTCGCGTGATGTCCACATAGGCCAAAGATGCCACATGATTGAGTGGGTCTCCGTTCGGCCCTCCGCGATAGGTGAGCCCCCACTGGCTCCATGTGGTTGCCGATATGGATTTCCATGTGTGACCCATAAAATGGGGTCTCACGTGCGAGGGAGTGTTGGAACCTCCATTTGTCCCACATCGGACAAAATGAGAAGAGAATAGTACTTTAAATAGAATTACCCAACTCTAACTAACACCGAGATCTTTTGTGATAAAACCCTATACGCCTAATGCAATGGTGCCTGCACATCACATAGAGTTTCCCACTGCAACTGACCAACCAGCTTCAAGTGATGGCATCAACACTTATGTTGAATATGAATCTCTCCACAGTGTTGCACCTGAGGAATCTCCATATGAGTCTCATTTTATTGCTCCTCGATGAAATCCCATTTGTGAAAGACATCCTCCAACAAGGTTGCAAGCCTTTGTCACTTACAAGCCAAGGCATCCACTGTTCAACTATGTGTCCTATAAAAAACTATCATCTAAATACACTGTTTTTCTTTGTAATGTATCTGAGCATGTTGAGCCTCAGTCGTTTCAAAAAGCAAATCAATCACAAGTTTGGCAGTAAGCTATGCAAGATGAATTGCATGCACACAAGGTTAAATTCAACATAGATGGGTCTATAGAAAGACACAAGGCAAGATTAGTGGCTCGTGGCTTTACTCAAACATTTGATGTGGACTAGAAGGAAACCTTTGCTCCTGTTGCAAAGATGAACTCAGTGAAAGTACTCATTTTAGTTGTTGTTAACAAAGGATGGCCTATGTATCAAATGGATGTAAAGAACGCCTTCTTACATGGTGATCTCGAAGAAGTCTACATGAGATTACCCCTAGGTCATCCTCAAAGTCATGAACCTAATGTTGTGTGTAAATTGCACAAATCAATTTATGGTCTTAAACAGTCATCTAGAGTTTGGTATGCCAAGCTCAGTTC